CATCCTGTTTTTGTTAGCCCACCCCTGCAACCTATCCAGGTCTTGCTGCAGTCTTGCCCTCCCTACTAGCATGCCCACCTCACCCCAAATTTTGGTATCATCAGCAAATTTAAACAGGTTGCTTTTCATCCCATTGTCCAAATCGCTGATAAAGAAATTGAACAGTGTGTGCCCAAGGACCGAGCCCTGGGGGACTCCACTGCCCACTTCCCCCCAGGTCGAATATGACCCGTCCACCACCACCCTCTGAGTACAACCCTTCAGCCAATTCACAATCTATCTGACTGTGTAGGCATCAATGCCACAGTCGCCTAGTTTTTTAATGAGGATGGGGTGGTCGACAGTGTCAAAGGCCTTGCTGAAGTCCAGAAAGACTACATCCACAGCGACACCTGCATCCAATGCTTTTGTGACCTGATCGTAAAAGGCAATCAGGTTGGTCTGACATGACCTGCCCCTAATGAAACCATGCTGGTTGCCCTTAAGCATCTTCTCTGATGCCGGCCCATCACAGATGTGCTCCTTGATGATCTTCTCAAAGAGTTTCCCCAGGATTGAGGTAAGACTGACGGGCCTATAGTTGCCCGGGTCCTCCCTCCTCCCTTTTTTAAAGATGGGGACCACATTGGCTATCTTCCAATCATCTGGCACCTGGCCTGAGCACCATGAGCTCTCGTAAAGCCATGCCAAGGGCCTTGCAATAACCCCTGCTAGCTCCCTCAACACTCTGGGAGGTTGCTCCACTGTAAATGATGTCAGCTAACACATACATTAAATTCTAAAACCAGAATAAAATAGGAACTACATCAGGCCAAATCTTTACCATGACTGTGGTATTAAAGTCCAAACACGATTTCAGAAATTAATCCACTGAAATGAATCAGAGATATAATGAAACACATGACTTGATAAATGTCTGAATGTGAGAAAGATCAAATGAATTGATCCTGTAACTAAGGGGTTAAAATCCTTGACTTCAAAGGAGCTACCTGTATGCTTTGCTGGATCAAGGCCAGAATGTTCAGCACTTTGCAAAATAAAGCAGCACTAAGTCAGGGGTCAGCAACCTATAACCCCTGGGCCAAATCTGGCCCAAGAAGGGAACTGGATCTGTCCTGCAAGGGCCTGATCTAGTCTATGTTTTAAGAACAGCCTGCCAATCCCCTAGTTCCACCTGATCCAGTTTGTGTATCACTAATGGTCAAGCAATCCCCCACTACCACCCACCCTTAGTAAAACACATTCTAGAATGAGCAATTCATGCTCTGTGTATAGGGGCTGCCCTCTTGAGCCCCTCAAACACCTTGCAGTCCCTGCTCATCACTGCTGTTGAATTAGCCACTCCAAATCCTTGCTTGCCACATGTGTTAGCAATGATGATGAGCGGGGGTTGCAGTGGGGCATGAAAGATGAGCCCTTAGCATGGAGCTGGAAAATCAGTTTCCTCACTTAAGACACACACCTCGCTTTTGTGGTAGCTGCCTTTTTCAGAGAAGGTGTGTGTGGTAGGCAAGTACATACTGTTTACATGGCACAAACCATTTCCTTTTTTGAGGCATATGTAATGTGTTTCCTGTCATTAACTGCCATGTCATATAATTCATTCAGCAGCACATCTAAGAAGATCATAGAAAAGTATGGCTGGAAGGGATCTCAGGCGATCATCTAGTCCAACCTCCTGCTTAAAGCAAAATCATTCCTGTCTAAACTATCCCAGAAAAGTGTTTGTCTAATCTGCTGTTAAAAAATTCTAAAGATGGAGATCCCACAAGCTTTCTAGGTAATCAGTTCCAATGACTAACGATCCTCATAGTGAGAAAGTTCTTCCTAATATCCAACCTTAATTTCTGTTGCTACAATTTAAGAATATTACTCCTTGTTCTGTATCCTGGGGCCACAAAGAATAGTTAATCATCATCCTGTTTATAGTCATGCTTCAAGGTATTTGAAGACTTATCAAATCCCCACTTCCTCTCCCCACATCTTAGCCTTTTCTTTTCTAGACTAAATAATGCTAGTTCTTCCAACCTGTCCTCATAAGTTATACTTCATAGACCTCTCATTGTTCTTGTTTCTCTTCTGGACTCTTCCTAATTTGTCCATATCAAGGTCAAATGCCTGCAACTCCATCCAACTTGACCTCATCTGTAAATCTGCTAAATGTGTATTTAATCAAATCTTTATAATCATTACTAAAAATTTTGAACAGTACCAGGCTCAAAACAGACTCCTAGAGAACCCTACTCAATACCTACTCCCAATTAGACATTGAACTATCAATGATTCCTCTTTGAGTACAGTTTAAGTATGAAACAACTGATTGGTTACACGAAGGCTCTTCTTTGTGTTATGCACATATACATGGTCAAGTGTACATGTAAAACAGCATAAGATATGATTGAATAGAAACTGCTACCATTTTTTATGGCAGTGAGAATTTAAGATCTAACAAAATGTGTATTTTTTTTTCCATTTTGCTTACTAGCATATAGTTAATTTATTTAACTGTGTTAGAAGAAAGGCTCTGCGAGTAACAGGAATTGACCATATAACGTTTGTTGTGGGAAGCAGAGATGCTTAACATGGGTGCAGTATCATTCAAATATAGCTATGCATTTAAGAGCTAGTGTCAGCAAAGCTCTCTTAAATATCTCTGCGCAGTACTGCCTTATATCGTGTAGACATACATTGACTTGCTATATTCTCTATACTCTTCACAATACACTTTTACAGGAAGGTTACTTTATATATTAATTTTATGTCATGAGACAGTATTTCCTTATTTCCAACTTTAACATTCCATTTTTTGTGTCTTCTGTTGTTATCTACCTAATTGCATGATCTATTAAAAGCATGAAAAAATGCTTGTCATACAAAGAAAAAAACTTGATTGTTATCACCTTCTATGATAACCTCCCCAGAAAAAAAACTACATTTATTTTTAATTTTTGGCTTATGTTTTGCAAATCTGAGTTAAAAAGCCACTCTAACAGTACCTTACCTAATGAGAAAACTAACATACCTTTAAAGGAGATCCAGTTGGATAGCGCAGATCTTGACTGATGAAGAGGCCCAAGGTCGTGAGGATTATTAAATTATTATTTGTTAAAAGTATATTTACAAGTGAAAGGCCAACACAATCTTATGGGGGAGAAAAAACAGCAGTATGAATAGTCACTATCTTATTTATTTGCTTTATTCAATCATGCATCTTCCCAGATAAGAGTCTGCAGACAAATCATAATGTCACTCAGACAATCAGAACATTTATGAATTACATTATGAATGCTTGCTGTCTTTCTAGATTTAGCATACATCCTTAACACTAATGCCCTTTAAAATCTCTCTAGCTTAAACCAGATAATAATGGTAAAGGGGTAGAAAATGCAGAATCAAGTCTTCACAATTCAAGTTAGCTTCAGAAAAATCTCCCTTTCTTCCCATAAGAGCTGATGATTCCTTTTGCTTTTCAGGTTACCCACTGACTCTAGGACTCTAGCAGACTGAGCCAGCTCATCATGTTCCAGTAAAGCAGAGGTGTCAAACTCATTCAGCTTCATGGGCCAGATAAGGGTCACTGGTCAGGTATGTGGGCCTCCTGTGCTGCGAGTAGCACCCATGGTGCTGGGTCCAGCCTATGCACTGCACATGCTGACCCCACACCAGAGCTTGTTATTCATGTGGCACGCGGGCTGGGGTTGGTTCAGGGTACAGGCTGCATGCAATGCCCTGCTGGCTCATCCCTGTATCTTGGCTCCAGGCCACTCTGGATCAGGTCCCAGGCTGTCCATGTGTGCCACAGCCAGCATATAGGGCCGGGCCGGTGTGGGGCTGCACGCAGCCTGCTCTCCAAACTGACTTTTTGTGCTGTGTGCAGGCTGGGTCCAGCCCACATGCCACATGTAGCACAAGCCCTGTGTCACTCCCGTGTCGTGTGCACAGCGAGCTCCAGAGCTGGTATGTTCTGTATGTAGTGTGTGGGGCTGGACTGGTCATGTGCACTGCATGTGGCACAGGGAACCAGCACCACACAATCAGTCGGAGACCCACAGGCCCAATCATTATGTTTGAAACCTCTGAAATAAAAGACAGAAACTTTCCAGAGCACTTTTCGCCAAATTGGCTGGTGTAGACTGCTATGGAAATTCTGTTATCTTCCTCTCCTCTTCTCACCCCTTTGTCTGGGTTTAAGGTATCACCTACAATATTTACTTTTTCTTGTGTCTGGATTAAGGAAGAAGTCAAGCAAAGGACCAAGGCTGGATTCAACTGATGTTCTACTGCTTGCCACTGATTAGAGTGCCCCTTCCATCTGCATGCACAATTCAAGCTCTGTATTATTTCACAAGCACTGTTTTAATTATTAACCATTACATTTATATAATGCTATGTTTGGATGTGTTTCAAAATGATCTCTTTTGCTCTCAGACAGAAAAGGTGAGCAGAAATAGGGCAAGGAGCCCCAGTACTGTAGTTTTGTCCACACAGGGTGCTGACAGACATGCAGGCCCCCACTAACTCAAAGTGCCATGAGTTAGAGCACCTCTGCTGACCCAACAGACATTCGGTGGAGGAGGGAGGTGGAGATTGAGCCTGCCTGCAGGAACCCAAGGAGCCTGCTGGCAGCCTCTCTCCCCTAGCCCCACCTACCCCCTCCCTCCAGCTCTGGGGCTGTCTGCAGGAAGGGAAGGGAAAGGGGAGGGGAAGTGAGCTGTCAGTTGGGGTTTTTCCAGCCTGAGCTGGAGGGAAGGGGCTGGTGGGGGAGCTCCCACATAGCTCAGGCCTGGAAAACCCCAGCCGGCAGCTTGTTTCCTTTCCTCCTCCCTTCTCAGCCCCATGCCACAAATTAATCGTAGGGTATACAAATTCCCTAAGGTGCTCCAAAGTGGAATGCCTTCATCTGATCCCTCATTTGATGATCGTTAATTTGTTGCATGATTGGCCACTTTAAAAGCACTCTGCAGCTATGGCTGTGTGTCACAGCACGGCTATAGAGAACTTTCAAAGTGCCAATCATGTGACAAATGTAACTTCTGTCTGCACCCACAAGTTCTAAGTGCTGAATCTCTCACACGAAAGATTAATTAGTGTACCAGCCCACCTACCAAGAAAGCTCTGTTAAATCAGTGAGAAAAACAAGGAATTACCATCATCCATGAGACTACACAGTCCGTCTGTCAAATTGTACCACTTGGTATCTCGGAATGTAAATCCAGAATCAGTCATTCCTAAATATATTCCTACAAATGAAAACAACCAAACAAGTTTTAGGTAGAATATAGAAGAAAACTATTGCTTAAAACAGATTTCTAGCAATCCAAGTCAAGCCTGTTCTGGAAAAATATCTTTTGGCAGCAGACAAATTCTATGCTTCCTACTCAGGAAAAAGGTCCACTGACTTCAAATTAATCTTCTTCTATATCAGGGACTGCAAATCTGTGGTATAGGTGCTATGACTGGCATAGGCTTCCTTGTGTTGCATGGGGCAGACTGGAGAAGGGACAGGCAACACAGTGGCAGATAGAGCAGGACGTAGAAAGAAGAGCAGCAGATCAAGCAGGGAGCACACAGCAGGAAACAGAAAGCAGATCAGCAGTTAGGGCAGGGGCAGGGGATCAGAGTGGCACTTGGTGAAGGTTCCAATTAATTTGTGGCATCATTGCCAGAAAAAGGATAGCCCCTATGGTTCTATATCTATAAAGCACTGTTGGCACCTGCTGTGCTTAGTAAATACTGAATAAAATAAAATCAGTTTACCCATTCTTCGCTGGATTAACACTGCTGGTTTGGGTGATCTTTCTGTGATACAGCAAAAGCTGTGCTAACCGGCACTTTATTAGCCGGAAAGCTCTATTAACTGGCATCCAAGGGGGACTTCCAGTTTCGCCGCCACAATCTGTGTTCTTCTTTGTCACTTCTTCAGCCCATGGCCCAGGGCAAAGCAGCCTGCGTGGGTCCCCACTCCCTGTCCCCCGGCACACTGACGCCGGGGAATGCACCAGACAGTGCACATTTGATTAACCGGCATATTTGATTAACTGGCATCCCCCATTCCCAGGGGATGCCAGATAACAGAGCTTTTACTGTAGTATGTGATAGATCGTATTGGCTTCAGATTCAGCCTAATATCTGTTTTTCCAATAGATAGGACTAAACAATAAAAAAGTCACTGACTATTAGGGGTGTGTGAAGCAGGCCCTATTTGATTTGGATTTGGCTTGAATCAGGGACAGTGATTCGATTAGTTGATTCAGATCACTGTCCCCGATTTGATTTGGCTGAATCTGAAGATTTGATGCTGATTTAGAAAATCAGTGATTTGGACATAGACAGAACTTTAAAAGTTTTTTCTACATACCTTGAGGTACCAGCACTGCTCATGATTGCTGTGATGCTGTGTCCCACAGGAGTGCAGGGGGGCCCTCCACGTACTCAGCGGGAAACCCAGAAGTGGACTAGAAGTACTTCTGGTCCACTTCTGGGTCTGCCAGGAAGCACTCCCCCCATCCCCCCCCCCCCCCCCCCCCTGGGTGT